TATTACATTTGAGATGAAAAGTTACTGGAAAAAATAAAACACAAAATTTATAGGCGTACGCTCAATTTTGTCCATGACTGTATATTCTTGCTGGTATACAAATTCAAACGGCCGTTATTACAGCAAACAAAAATATTTAAATTTAGATTTTTTAGTGAATAAAACTGAACCAAATTATTTTCATCGATAAGATTTTGCAAAACAACGCTATAAACAAATACTTTTCAAACTAAATACAAATTTATATTTCTGTTGAATGCGAAATATACTATTGAGACTTCGGATACTTCATTCGAAGTCTCATGAAACTTCAATCACATTGACACTAACTGCTATAAGACTATTCGTCAACCGGGATTCTTTTGTCATATCCATATGTTACGCTAGCGCGGTGTATCGTTTGACAGCGTTTCAATTTGATTTTCCATGATTTGTGTACTTTACGAATCATTTAAAATGAGAAATTCAATTTGACGAAAGTGGAGGCGAAATAGAGAAAAAAGCGATGTTTTCAATTTATTTCGATTGAAACTTGTTGCTTTCCAGCCTTCAATGTGTACATTTAACCAAAATCTGATGGAAAAACACTCTCAACCATTCATCCAATCGCGTGAATGATTTTTCGTTGAATCAGGATACGAACCGACTATCAAAACAAATTGATTTTGTTCATTCAAAAAATCCGGATTGATTTCCATGTCTTGATTTAGAATGATTTGATTGATAGCAAACCAACTGGAAATTGCAGCTTTGATGCCAAAAGTGATTATCTTGACATACTCCGTTTTGTTGGCGGGATTTTGTTTATATTTGGGTTTGCCACTTCTACGAAGTCTTAATTATTCGACTTCATTCAAAATTAAATTGGAAATTCGAAAATGGTTTGCCAAGTGAAATCGAGTCAGAATCAATCGATTTTCAATGGATTTTCTGAGATTCCTAGAATTTTCGAATTGATTTTCTTTTCGAGAAGAAAGAATTTCTTTTGGAAAATGGTTCGGTAAACGCAATCAATGGTTAGAGTCTGCATTGTCTTTGAAATGAGTTTGCTTGATTAGAAAAATATTCCAATTTACTAAAGAGAAAATAATTATTTTATAATAATTATAATTATTCACCAAGCTCGAATTAATACACTAACCTGGTTATATGATTCTGACACTAGGCTTACTACTAATATAGTAGGTTTGTTAAATTTATCCATTCAAAAGAGGAAAATTGAGGTTTCACGTGTACTTTTGACCCACTTCATATCCATATATAACATTTTGAACTAAATATTTTAGCTGTGAAACGGAAGCTTTTTTCAGCTTTATATGGTTAACATCTCACTTGTGCCGTTTGCGTTTATGCATGGTGTTTATTTTCGTGTCTAAAGTGTATTTATAATTTAAAATTTAAATTATTTACGCACCTCATGTGGCTGAATATTCACGTGCTGTATTAATTCGATTGATTTTTGCCGAAAAAAGGTTTAAAAAAAATATCTGAAGCTCATCATAAGCTGCCGATTTAATGCAATATCCCATGGAAGTAAAAGTGTTCGTTGAAATAAATGAAATGGTGAAGCGCTGATCCGTTTGCAGTTTCGACAAAATGCAAAAAAAATTTTCAATGGAAAATGTTCGATTGTGCTGGTGCATAAAATCCATCGTTCAATATGTATGAAGTGCTAATACATCAGGGGATCGTGTTAATGAAATGATGAATTATTAAATTATAGCCCAGATCTGGTCGCCTCGTTAATTTTTCGGTAGCTTATTGAAAACGGTGTGGAGATTTGTGTGAAATTTTATTTCTGACCATTCGTCCGTAAATCACTCAACGCGGGCGATAAAATTGAATTGATGTGGTCTCTTTGATATGGATGATTGAATTGTAAACTAAACCAGAAACTAGCGATATTTTAAACCGCAACGAATTGGAGCGCAAATGGAGCGTTCCACAGCCACAAAATGTGGATTCATTTTGAAATGCTTCTATATTTAATTAGTATTCACGATAACCAATGAAATGTTAAATATTTTACGCTCTGAACCGTGAAAACATAAATACCGTTGGCCCTTTTTTTCTCTTTCGTCGCAACTATTTAAAATTGCATTTCAAAATTTGGAAC